CCTACATGCATATGAACTAATATGGCACAAGATCATCCACAAGCTCGCTTCATAGACCCCTCTTGATAGTACGGCGTCTATCTAGCAAATCCAGTCTACACCAAACACCAAGACCGGGAAAAGACTAAGAAAACATTCTTAGCTACATTATACCTTTGCCTTGCGCCATCCATCTTGGGGTCAAGCTTGAGCCGAGATCAACACTTGTGACCATCCGGTTGAACCATGTTTATGCCGAGGTCTTGTCCATCCTTTGTCAAGACTTTGTTCTCATCACAAGCTTGACTTCATTCTTGCCAACATGACGATGTCCTTGGCTTGGTGACCACTAACCCATGGTATCATTCATTAGCCTCATCGTAGTGGGACCTATTCCTTTTCACACCTCAAAGGAGAACATTAGTCTAAACAAATCGGTTGTCATCCTTCACTTGATGACCAACCGGTTGCATATGAAAGATATGGATATGTTTGTTGAGTATTCATTAACATCACAAGTGTCATATACTCGTATGCAAGCTCAAGTGCAAAGATCCGATATAAATAATAGGTGAACAACATGGATCTAGAACATGCACAATAAATGTATAGGATTTGCTCCCCCTAAATATATGCATACAAATAAATATACAAGAGATGCAAGTGTATGCATAATTAGAGAATGACCAATGGGGGTTTATCCTATACATATAGAGAAGGCATATGTAGTAATGATGTAGACCAACATAAAAACATATACCTTCATGATCTCCATGTTCTCAATGTAAATGAGACTAAATAAGATAACATTTGAGTAAACATTAGTCTCACACTTATATATCAATAACATGGAAATCATATATATGAACCTATCAAAAAGTAGGAGATAAGAAGTGGTACATATCGTTTTATCTCCATGCATTTCATCCTTGTCATGATTAAGGTCCATCACAAAAGAATGCATGTCTTCCACATCTCATTATCGGGAAATAACCTAGTAGACAACTTATGCAAAAGAGAGGTTAATCCCATAAACATCGGTTTATCATCTATCACCAAAGTAACAATTACACAAATTGTTTAATCCAAGATCTTTCAATCTTTTCTCTCTTTGGTGATGGATAATAACCCGATATAAACAATATAGAGAGATGAGATGAAAAATGATTTCAAATCAAGATAGAAATCTTATAATAAACAAAATATAGAATAAGCTCCCCTCAAGATGTGCATACATATGGATATGAAGGAACACATATGCACATAATCAATAAAGATCAAATAGGAAGCTCACACTATATTTTGGATCCACAAGAGAGACCAAGTTAGAATATGTGAAGTTTAATACATACCTCTCATCATTTTTACTTTCATATCCAAATGAGACTAGTCAAAGAAAGGCTCATAACAACGTTAGTCTCATATAATTAGATTTGTCATTAATCACCGAAACCAAATTAAGGCACTTGAACTTATAGTATGTAGGTTAAAGAAATCTTTTTATGGGTTGAAGCAGTCACCTAGACAGTGGTATAAGAGATTTGACTCTTTCATGCTTTCTCAGAAGTTTAGAAGATCCAATTATGATAGCTGTGTTTATCCGAAAGTTGTTGATGGTTCAGCTATATATTTGCTTCTTTATGTTGATGATATGTTGATTGCTGCAAAAGACAAATCAGAGATAGCAAAGTTGAAGGCACAATTGAGTAGTGAATTTGAGATGAAGGATTTGGGTGCAGCGAAGAAAATTCTCGGTATAGAAATTACTAAAGAAAGACATTCTGGCAAGTTATATCTTAGTCAGAAAGGTTATATTGAAAAAGTTCTTCGTCGTTTCAATATGCATGATGCAAAACCAGTGAGTACTCCTTTAGCTGCACATTTCAGATTATCTTCAGATTTATGTCCACAGTCAGATTATGATATTGAGTACATGTCTAGAGTTCCTTATTCAAGTGTAGTTGGTTCACTTATGTATGCCATGGTATGTTCTCGTCCTGACTTATCACATGCATTGAGTGTTGTCAGTAGATACATGGCTAATCCTGGCAAAGAGCATTGGAAAGCTGTTCAATGGATTTTCAGATACCTATGTGGTACATCTAGTGCTTGTTTGCAGTTTGGGAGATCTAGAGATGGACTTGTTGGTTATGTGGATTCAGATTTTGCTGGAGATTTGGATAGGAGAAGATCGCTCGCGGGTTATGTTTTCACTATTGGAGGATGTGCTGTTAGTTGGAAGGCAAATTTGCAAGCAACTGTTGCCTTATCTACTACTGAAGCAGAGTATATGGCTATTTCTGAAGCTTGTAAAGAAACTATTTGGCTTAGAGGTTTGTACACTGAGCTTTGTGGAGTTACGTCTTGCATTAATATCTTTTGTGATAGTCAAAGTGCAATATGCCTTACAAAGGATCAAATGTTCCATGAGAGAACAAAGCACATTGATGTGAGATATCACTTTATTCGAAGTGTGATTACTGAAGGTGATGTCAAGGTATGCAAGATAAGTACTCATGATAACCCAGCTGATATGATGACAAAGCCAGTTCCTGCTACTAAGTTTGAGCTTTGCTCAAGCTTGGTTGGTGTTACAGTATAGTCCTAGAGACTATTTGGCGCGCGGTGATTTTACCTACATGAGGTATTTTTTTGGTGATTGATGTTTTCATGCTACAAGAGGAAATTCGTCTCAAGGTGGAGATTGTTAAATATGTGATCCGAATTTTGGGCCCACAATATATTCGGATTAGTTTTCTAGTAGGACTTCATGTCTATCCTATTAGGTGTCTTTCTATTTCCCCTATATATAATCTTGTAAGCCGTACGGGAAGAGGTGACGTTCCCATTGTGATTCCCCTACGTTTGTAATCATCTCCTCTATAGTGATCATTGCCGGTCGGCGCCCGTGGTTTTTTCCCGCAAGGGTTTTCCACGTAAAAATTCATGTCTCCGTTGTGCATCTATTTTCATAACAGTTCACTCCTCATATGTTCCACCCTTTGTATATAAGCTAATGTGATTGGGCACCAAACTTTGTTAGTTGGAAGATCGTAAGAAACTGCAGGTTTTCATAGACATCCTGATAAACACCCTAGACCCCTCATTAATACCGGTTTGGAAGGGCTATAACTCTCGGTTTCGACGGTTTTAAAACTGGCACTAATGGCCCTCAAGCACCGCACCAGACAATTCCATGTGGGTATCGTCGGTGCCGGTTAGGGCAGCGAACCGCCACTAATACTCATTTTTGTGCAAAAACAAATACAATCAATTACTTACTTAATCCATGGTCACATTGATCCAGAACACAGCTTTCTTGCATACACACATTTATATACAACAATCCAGAATCACTGGATACAAAGTTTTTTTTATTTCTTGCATTCATTCCTCATCTATTGCAAACAGTGGAGAAAGCAGGAAGATGCCAAGTGCATCTGTAATACAGTTATGTAATACAGCAAAAATTAGGTGAACAAAAGTTTGTTTTATTCTGCACCGATCTCATTAAAATCGCCGATCAACTTCAGTTCAGTAATCCTGTTTTTTTTTTCCTGGCACCGTCCTTCCTTTTTGAGTAAGCATGTTGTTTCCACTCTTTTTCTTCCTTTTTAATAATTGTGGTTCTCTCATCTTAATTGGATTGAAAAATCAGACGCCATTTTCTTCCTTTCTTGAGACTCATTGTTGTTGATGCAACTCATTCCCTCTTTTCTCAGATGAATATAGAGTACTACTGCTTTATTTCAGGTTCTCCAGTAAATCGTGCATGAAAATCTGATAGGTTATTGGTCTTAGTCTAAAATTTACATTCAGTTTGCGTGACATCTGAGTATTCTGCAGTTCATGACTTCTTTAAAGTTGTCCTGATGACAAGTACTTGCAGTTGTACTTTGCTACGAGAATGAACTTGTCAAGAAAACCTCTCAACCTTAAAGTTAGTAGGAAAGGTTATTGTTGGAAAAAGACCATTATATTTCCTCTGTTTATTCACACCATTGCTTGTGTTACTGAAGGTTCAACGTGTCGGATTTTTCTTCAGCACATTGCAATTCTGAGAAGCATGGGCTGTATACAGCAGTCTGAAGACAGGCATTCCGACCTTACCTGCACCCTGATCGAGCTCGACTAAAAGTCCTTATGGAAAGTGATTTATCTAGGACAGATCAATGAAAATAACAAGACCAGCTAAAAACCCAGCAATCATGGTGGGGACATATACAGCTAGCAGATGATGGTTCATGGTGGCTACTCTGCACTTGCACAATCAAATGAAGTATATGAACTGACCTTTAGTTTGCTGCGCAGCCTTGAGGATGTTGATGTTTAAATGAGTGTTTAAAAAATTAAAATTATTAGCAACAAAACAGAGCATACAAGTATAGAACAACAAAATAGATCAGGTATGGAGACATACTTGAGGGAGCATACACCTTACTGTTTACATGATGAAGAATAGTTATAAGTGTTTGCCCAAATTGCCATCATTTATACTTTTTTTTGTGGAAGCAATGGGAATCCTCCAATTTATATGCTAGTGTGTTGATTATATAGCCTATGGGCATGATAGCTGCTGTCAACAGAAGCTTTTTATACAAACTGCTATCTTACTGACCAGGATATATCTTTTTGGTACCTGGATGTTGCGATCAATGTTCCATACAACATGAAATAATATCTGAGTGACTTGAGCATTGACAATGAACATTTCTTTTAGTAATAGAGAACTGGCCACATTATTATTTGCTGAAAGAAAAAAATGCCATGGGATTTTCAGAGTAAGCATTTGAGAACTACTTAGATTATCTGCCTGGTACATGTGAGTACCTTTTGCATTACATGTTTGGTAATTATCACAGTATTTAGAACTTTCCTCCACACAAATTTGTATATGTGATGAAAATAGAAAATGTTATGGGATATGCATATCAAGGAAAATAGACTAACATGATCCAACTAAATTTAGTGAGCAGAAATTTGATCAAAGGTCAATTCAGAAAACTGCAACCCCAAAATGTGCATTACTTTGCCAATATAAAAAAAACTAGAAAAATATACCACCACCATTCCATTAGACCATTACTAAATAACATGGAAAAATTACGAGATATAAGTAAAACACACAATTATATAGAACATTATACACATTACAGTAATCCTAGGAAATGAAGACTTCTAGAATTAGTATGGTCCTCGCAATAACATACCACCAAGGGACTCCAATATTATAAATATTCTCCCTTCGGTACATTATTATTTTATTAACTTCTAGCTAAATCAACTGAAAGGAGGCTCTCCACTATTGATTCCATTGTTGGCCTTTTCTTCCTATCTTCCTCCAAGCAGGACACAGCCAACTTTACCAAAGTTTTTGCTTGCAAGTAGTTGAATTCATCACCCACTCTGAAATCTACGAACTCTGCTAACCACAATGATTTCTCATTGTCCAATCTATAACAAATCATCTTAATAAACTTCTTGAGCATCTCATGCACCTTCGTCTTATCCTCTCCAACGATTAAATCAAAGACTCGTCTTCCTGACACTAGCTCAAGAAGAACGACTCCATAACTATATACATCAACCTTTGCTGTTATTGGTAAACCAGATATCCATTCTGGAGCAATGTAACCTATGGTCCCTCGTGCTCGTGAAACATTTTGATTAGAGCCAGATCTACTAAGCAGCTTTGCCAACCCAAAGTCAGTGATCTTAGGTTCTAAATTCTCATCCAGCAAAATGTTCTCTGGCTTTAGGTTGCAGTGAATGACCCACTCTAGGCACTCATGGTGAAGATAAGCCAGTCCCTTTGCAACGCCTAAAGCAATATTAAACCTTTGCTTCCAATCTAACAAGATTTTACTGTTGAACAGTACATTAGCCAATGATCCATTCTCAACATACTCTAAGACCAGCAATCTATGGAATCTTTCTGAGCAAAAACCATATATTCTTACTAGGTTCATATGGTTGATTCTTGAAATAACATGCAACTCATCCTGAAACTCCTCCCTATTTTGCGTGACATTTTCCAACTTTTTTATGACCACTGCTCGATCGTCATCCAATATTCCCTTATAGACAACTCCTGAACCTCCCCATCCAAGCTCATGTTTAAACCTTTCAGTTGCCTTAACCAGCTCTCTATGACTATACATTCGGAAATGACTAGTCATCACCCTGTAGCCTTCCTCAGCTATCCATACTTGAGATGACCGCATCTCCTTCCTCAAGACAAAGAACCATGCAAATGCGAAGAAGAAAACCTCAACAATGAAAAACACACCGATAAACCCATAGAAGTAGAACCATTTTGGTTCCTCCCCACCAATCTTATTCATGTTACGAACTGCCTCTGTGGTTATTGTGTTTAAATGATCACAGTCAAGTCCACTTAGTGTATAATCATGTATACTAGACTGTGGAATGGGTTTTTTTGAAACATCCAAACTTGAAGGAAGTTTGATATACATCGTTCGCACAAAAGGTGTTGGGAAAGTCCTTCCATTAAAGAGAAAAGATTTTGGATAGCATGTACCATTTCCTTCTTGGTATTGAAATCCCTTGCATGTGCAGTCACTTATGCAAGTGTTCCAACACACCTCCCAAGGTACCTTTTCAATACGTTGTTGATCAGAACCCCAAAAATCAGTGTTTCGAAGTTGCAAAAATGTTACATTCTGTTTACCATCGCATGCAATTTCGACAATAGGCTTGCAACCTTGTGTCCAGTTACCCGGATTCCTCATCTTATAACCAGGTGGGCATGAACATCTTGGTGTAGGTGAATAGTGGCAGATTCCATATGGACCACACAAACCATGAGTCATGCATGTTTGAGGTTGAGCAATCCATGAAATTGTCCATGTTCCATCTGAGTTATTCAAGCTATAGAGTCTAAGATTACCATCATAATCCAAGGTAAGCCTTCTTTTAATCCCCAAGCTTCTATCAGAGGCAACACGGGCTTGATGCTTAGCAAGATCACTCGAAAAAAATTCTCCATAATCATCAAGACTACCTATCCTTGTACTGTTATAAAGGTTCCTATTATTCTCATAGTACTGGTAATCAGGATCTGGCCAGTATACGCCGGAAACATTAGTGTCATCATATATAAGTGACAATATCGACTGATCGCTGAAACGGAAGGTATAGTGACTAGGAACCTGTAACCCAGTGGTAGAGACTAACTTTGTTGTAGCGAGAATGCGTTGAGTAGGAAGCAAAGTATCTGTCGGTGAATCGAAACTTTGCCAAACAATGTTTCCACTGGAGTTCTTCAAGACAAGGTTACCAGTGTTCAATAATTGAACATATCGAACATTAGGGAATTTACCGTCAGTTTGCCACACGACTGTGCCGTCATAGTCAGTGAGGACTATGTTTCCATCCTTGCGCAGAGTGATCTCTGATCTCCTTGAGTGCACGGGACGGCCACGGTTTGCGCTCCATACGATGGCCTTGTCAGCTGAATTGGAGTACCAAATTGAGAAGGTGAAGGCGCTAGTGATGTTGTAGGCGTTAGTGATGTTGTAGAAGCCACATGAGAATGTGCCATCAGATGACTGCAGGATGTTGGTTTCATACTCTTCAACAAAGAGAGAGGATTTCAGTGGTAGAATATCATGAGTTGCAGCACTCAATGGTAGAGCAAGCAAAAAGAGGGTGGCAAGAACAGCAAGGGAAGTAGAAAGAAATGGAGCATCCATGGTTGCAGTCTTGGAGAGATGGTCTGAGCTTCAGAGATTGGATGAGCATAGCTTGACTACTACTTTGTTGCATGTGGTGCAATGTATCTTGAATGACAGTTCTGATTTAGTCAGAAATTCACAGTGCGGTTGGTGTGGCGTTTTGGAATACTTCTCTGCAGTTTTTGACTTTTTTGAAGTTATCCTGCAGAGAACTTCTGGTTGGGTTTTTTTTCTATTAGAAAATGACATTTACCTTGAATATATAGCCAAAACAAACATCCCTAAGATGCACCTTGAATAAATTATCTGCAAAGAGAACATTTGGATATGCTTGAAACAAGTGATCAAAATCGGTATTCAGTAGGTCCCTCCCATGCATGAATATACAGCCGAATGATGATGCTTCAGGATGACTCTTATCTCTTCGTTGAACTTGCTAGAATGGTCAAAAAAATATATGGATCAGTTCCGGTCAGTCACTATATTTGAACAGGGTCAGTAACTTGAGAGTTCTAAACTTCTAATGCAACATCACTGTCTAGATAATTGTTACGATTATCCTATCCATGTATCATTCTCTGGATTGGATTCTTCAGGTCCAGGTTCGTGCATATGGGAGCAAACAATACTACAATTACATTAGCTTGGAAGGAACAATCTAACTTAGTGAGTGTGATGCAAGTTTTGGGAAGTCCAAATTCATAATCCACTTCTGAATAAACATGATTCATTGCATCATATTCCAAAAAATATGAATGCTAGAAAGGTATTAAACATGATTCATAATCCACTTCTGAATAATCATTGCATCATATTCCAAACAACTGCATTGTTACTATTACTGGCATATCATTCACTGACCAACAAAACGAAAACAATCATGCGAATTTGACATCAAGATACCATTATTGACATATAATTCCCTGACCAACAAAATGAAAACAACCATGCAAATTTGACATCAAGATGTAACTGTAGATAACACGAGCTGAGTAGAGATTTGTGTATGGAAGAAATTGCCAGTTCTTATCAACAGCACCTTTCATTCAACAAGTTTGCTTTGGGGAAGATGATAGCTGTGGTCTCAGACAGGGTGAAGTGCGATATCTTCTGACCTCTCTGTTGGCATCTGTTGTCTCTTCCAGATTATGTCCCATCTCTTACGAACTTCCTTGCTGTATTCTACAGCAGCTTGCTCGTAATTCAAAGAAAGAACTGCTCGAAGACGATGATGCAGAGCTCCTTCTCTTTGAAAAACCTTTCCATAGAAAACGATTATTGTCCTTACAATAGATCAGTCCAAAGCATAAATGACTGCCCCTAGATCTTCATTGGAGCTATCTCTGCAATAAAATAAATCAGTGTAGTACTGTCAAAACTAATAATCTATGGAGGACTCCGGGGTTCAGCAACTGACCCTACTCGAGTGCCACTGCATTGTTATAGCTGCCAAGCACTATGATGCATTCCTTCTTCTCTAGGTGCAGTGCCGTTGCTCATGACAGCTGATTTTCTTAGCTTGCACAAGCTTCTAAGATCTTCACCAGATGACACTCTACCACCGACGTGTCAAGAGTTGCAAACACCATAGATGGTCAAGAGATTAAGAAAATGGTTTGCGGTCTTCTAAGCCATATGATTCTTGAACTTCCCAAGTATATCCTTGTAGAAATGATACACATATAAGCATTATAAGAATGCTCATATAAATTGCCTTCCTGATCATTAGGCTAATTCTCTGACAAATGCCACTTTGAGCTTCCAACAAGGCCTTCAGTGTTTGTCTGGCACATGTGATTCTATAACTCGTTACTACTTTCCTGATTGTGTTCCTCAGTAAACCGAAATGGACTGTCCATTTCATCAATGCCACGACATCCTGACAAAATAAGACCTAGCATTTTCCTTCTTACATTATAGACAGGGTTTGGATCAACCAGGCATCCCTTACTGTAACTCTCTCTAAGAAGGACATGCTGTGTGCTTCCTTTGGTTGAGATGTAGAAAATGCCAAGGTGCTTAAGAATAAGCTCCCGCAGGTTTACCTCCATACCAAAAGGTCTTCTGAAGTGGGACAACCTCTCAAGTGGTATCATCTTTTCTACTGTCAAGCTTAAAAGTTCATGAAGAATGCCAACAATACGTTTCTCGAGCCGCCCGACATTGTGGATTGGATGCAAATCATTCTTATCATAAGCCTTAGTATAGGGAAGCCTCTGCCAGTTCCCAAGCTTTTCCCTAAAACCATTCTCGATCTTAAAGCCGGCTGGCAAGTTTATAGGAAAAACATATTTTGTCTCAGATTCAGCTAACCATTTTTCTGTATATTCCTTCGCTCTTCATTCTTCAACATCAGCTACAGCTAGACTTTCATCCCTAGTGACCAATGTCAGAGTATCAGGGGAACCTAGAGAAAAATCAGACTGATGGTTTGTTAGTATAGAGCACCTATAGTCATCAGGCAGGCCAAGTTCCCTTCTTATGAGCCACAATGCATGCATATTCAGAGTTCCATCTTTCATTAGCATGAGGAGCTTCTTCAGCCGCTTAACAATAGCAGGCTCATTTTCCCTGATGACAGCATCTTCTTCTGCAATCAATTCAGCCATTTTTGGGGTGACCTTACAGCATTCATTCCTTTTGACTGGGTGCACATAAATGTAAAAAATGTGGGGATATTTCTTAAGGAAAGCGCCAATCTCAATATTTAGGCCAACCTCATGTCTCCACCTGGAGAGGAGTTGGAGAGATGCAAAGCCATTCCTCTGCTGAGATATCAACTCGTGTAAATCCAAAGCTAGCCTCAGGTTCTTCAGTTGAATCATCAGCTTGTCCAGTTTATGATCTCTTGTTCTGCCTTCCTGTCGAGTTCTTGCTGAATCAACTGGTTTTTTCCACCTCCTCTGTATGGTGCAATTATAAGGACCATGCTGAAACACCGCATCCCATATGTGCCTTCTGAGGGGAAAGACACGCAGATTTCTTTGACCAAACGCTATAGATGCCATTCAGTTGTATATTCAGAATCAGGCCTTACTTAGAGCTCACAAAACACCATCGGCATGCAAAAATGGATATGTGAATCAATGTCGATTTGTCAATCTGCAACAAAGAAATTGGATGCATTGTTATCTGTAATACCAACAAGGTAAACTAACTTGTCATCTGTAGAAACAACCAAATATGGAGGACTAATTAATTTTCTTTTATTATTGTTCCACAAGGTTGTGCAAAATAGCAAAGAAACGCAGGATGACAATCAGTTTTGGAAGAAGAAAGTGACAGAACCTTAACCTTGCTAGGCATTTCGTCGAACATCATGTGGTCAAGGTGGAGGAAGCAAACTCTACCGGATGGAGGAAGGCCGTCGAACGCACACGTACGGACAATAATGTAGGTGATGCCGACGAGAACAACGGCGACGAGAGGGATCGACGACTCTCTGCTTTCCCCTGGCTGGCGCTTCTGATTGGCTTCTAGCTAGAGTTGGGGAAACTGGAAAAGGAGAGCGTATTGGGGAGCTTCTCCTGTCTGCCGCTGATTCGCCTCGGCTCTGCCGTCGGCCAGTCCGCCATGGCGGGTTCGCCGGATAGCTATGGACCATTACTTGGTGTACGTCAGAGAAAAGAAATTAAAATTATACATTGTTTTTGGCTTTTTCAGTTATATACATACTCTTGAAAAAAAATAGAAAAATATATACACGTACCATTACGTGTGAACGCACGACCAATTATTTGGCGTGGCACGAAGGTGCCGGACCGATGGTTGGGACAATCCCGCGCCGTGGCACGTGGTAGCCGATTGGGAAGATTGTCCTAGCCGTTGGTCCCCTACCGCGCCAAACAATTAGTCACGCGTCCTCGTACCACGGTACGTGTATATTTTCATAATTCTTTCAAAAACATATATATAACTGCAAAAATTCTAAAAATAATGTATATTTTTTACTTCTTTTGTCAGTGTGTAATGAACATCTTCCCAAAACAACACTTGATTTTTCATTAGTTTTTCAAACACTACCCCACATTCATGAATTATTCATTCATGTTACATAATGAAAGAGAGATGAGGTAGTTAATTAATTATTACTAATTGTGATCACAGTCGTATCCACCAGGGCCACCAAAGGCGACATTGATGCCGGGGCGATAGAGGTCGGGGCCATCGCCCTTGATGTCGTAGCACTTGGGGTGGGTGACAATGGTGTTGACGGGGTCGTCGACCTGGTCGGCGCCGGTGTAGGCGATGGCGAGGTAGGCATGGATGCAGGCTGCGTTCTGGAGGCCATCGGAGGGGTACATGCCACTGCCCATTGGGGTGAGCGTGTGCCGCCCTCCCGGCCTCCTGTCCAGCACGTGCCCTCCCATCTCGTTGTGGAAGCTCTCGATGAAGGGCGCCGCGAACGCGCTCTCGTGGAAGTAGCCGATCGGCTCATCCATCAGCGACACCCACCACACCGCCGGCCCATCATCCTGCATCATCCACTCTTATATATAATTAATCAATTTAATTTCTGAATACTAAAACAAGTTCTGTTGCTAAAACAAAATTAATGGTACGTCCTGCGATACGGATTGAGAAGCCTCCTAGCTATCCCTTTCCCAATATATAGCATAGATTACTCATGCTAGCTCTATGTCTTCCTACACAAGTGTTAGTCATTTGTGATTTCTATAGTTGATTTTATTGAATAAAATGTGTGGAACATGTAATTTATTGTTATGTTTGCTGGTTGAAAATTGAGATGTGATTTCTAAATTGTGATTTTTGGGATTATATATATAGACTTACAGTTTAACAAGATAATATCGCATGTGTTTCATATGGAGATAAGCATCAAAGTATATAATTATTTAGGACATTATAATATGACAAATAATTTTCTTATAAAGAAAATTTTATTCAAAATGCATTAAGGTATATTGTCAAATATCGTCGTAGCGTTAGCATGGATATATTAATTACTAGTATATAATTAATCAATCTCCTTTTATTACATATATGTATCCCATAATCATTGCAATACATATATACGTGCCGCGTACCATTCTCTTCTTCATCCTTAAAAATATATAAGTATATTTCTAGATACTTAAAAAAAGTATTTCTAACTAGCTAGC